GCCCGGCTCCGGTCCGGAGGGCCCGTGTGAGCTCTCTGTGCCCGGCTCCGGTCCGGAGGGCCCGTGTGAGCTCTCTGTGCCCGGCTCCGGTCCGGCGGGCCCGTGTGAGCTCCAGGGTCCACGCCGCCATCGCCGCTCAGCGCTGAGATGCTCCTGACAGCTCTGCGGTGACTGGGAGGGGGGCCGCGGAGACAGAGGATGTCGCTGGGATGATGTGCTGCCCTGTTACACCGCAGAGCCTGTCCCACAGACGCACAGTCTGAGCTCCCTCGGTGTTCACTCCTCGGACTCTGGGAGACTGGGAGGTTCTGGCCCGGCGGCTGCACACAGAGGCCAGTGGTGCTGATGCCCAGCTTGACGTCTGACCGGCAGGGCGGGGCGCGGGGAGGTTGGGGAACATCCTGGGGTGATGTGGGGCACGCGGGGTGTCCCCTGGGGGGCCAGGAGCTGTCGGAGGTCAGGAGTGCGCTGCAGGGGAGGGGCCGTCCTGTGTTGAGACTGTCGGACCGCGGCGGTATCGGTGTCTTGCGTGAGCCCCCTCTCTCCTGGCCTGCGGGGGAGCCCTGCTGTGCTGTGACGGGGGCGTGTGGGGACACGCGGAGGGCTGGGATGTGGGCCGAGTTGCTCGGCGCTCTGAAGGCTGTCCTGCCGGAGCAGGTCCACAGGGCTGGGGCGCAAACCGGAGTTTCTGGGAACATCCGGGGTCGCTGTCCTCCCGGTTGTCCGGGTGGGCGTGTGCAGGTGAGGGGTGCTCATCTTGTGCGGCTTCAGAAAGTTTTGTGATGCCCCCCCAGACCCCTGCAAGTACAAGCCGCCCGAATAATCAGTAAAGCTGTGTTTTTTCGATTGATTAAATTTTGCGGTTCATTACAGTAATCAGCCATCATGACAGCCCTTTGATGCTGCTGCTTTTCTCCCAGAAGATTTTCATTTGGCGCTGATTTGTGCTGCTCAGGCTGTGCTGGAGCAGTGCGAGGGAGGTACCTGCTCAGGGGAACAGCGCTGAGCCCTCGGATCCCCGATCGCTCGTCATGAATACAGGCGCTGTTCCAAGACCGGACTCATCCAGCAAGGATGATAGCAGTCAGCCTGACAGTGCAGCATGAGTGTGTGTAATCATGTGTGTGGAGGGGCTGCAGTGTGTGTGCGCTCATCGTGTGTGCGTGCGGAGGGGCTGCGGTGTGTGTGTGTGTGAGCAGTGTGCGTGTGGAGGGGCCGCAGTGTGTGTGTGGTGTGTGTGTGCGCACAGAGGGGCTGCAGTGTGTGTGTGGAGGGGCTGCGGTGTGTGTGTCTGAGCAGTGTGCGTGTGGAGGGGCTGCAGTGTGTGTGTGGTGTGTGTGCGCGCGCAGGGGGGCTGCAGTGTGTGTCCGAGCAACGTGTGTGTGTGCATGTGTGCAGAGGGGCTGCAGTGTGTGTCCCAGCAGCAGGCTGTGTGTTTAACGGACCCCTTGCTGTTTACAAAGCAATAAGCCCCTCGGGCTGTTTGAACTGTGGAGCTGCCAATTAATAAACTTGAACAGCCTGGTGAGGCCTTTGATGGCCTATCTGAGGGCAGCTGGTAGAGGGTGAGCTAGACTACCGTACTGCTCAGGTGTGTGATTGATCCCGATGAGTGTTCCCAGACTACAGCACAGCTCCCTCAGATACTCTTCTCCAGCCCCTCTGCCCTTCCCACCAGACCACACTGCTGTCCTCTGTCTCACGGTACCCTTGACTCTTTTGTATACAGAATCCCCCTGTTTTTATAGTCCAGTAACTTGGGGTTATACACATCTAGTGTCAGCAGAATTTCCAGTTCTTTTAATTTTGCAGTTTATTTCCGCTGTTTTTCTAGATCTCCCTTTCAAAATAAGCTGTTTTCCCCCAGTGTCGGAGTACTGTCTTCACAGGAGTGCTGCTGGAGCTGTCTGATGGCCGTTGCCAGCTGGCTCCCTCTAGTGGTAATGCTGTGTACCGGCAGAGCTCCTTGCTCAGGCCCTGTCCAGCCAGTCTCTGCTGGTTTGGTCACTCAGCTGTTCCTCCTGCCCAGCCCCTGCGCCCATGTGAGGTGGGCCGGGCGGAGCCACTGATTGCGCCCTCTTCCTTCTTCCTGCGCAGGCAGCGCGGAGGGCGGGGTGTTGCCGCGGTCACAGAGCGAGACCGCGACGGGATTGGCTGGAGCACGCCGGCATGGGCGGAGCCGCGACGAGCAGCGGCGGCACACCATCACCAGCGGCGTGGATTATGGCATGGTACGCCAGCGGGCCTGACGTGCGCGGGGCGGGTGCGCGTGTGCGTGTGGCTGTGGCGCGCGAGGAAGTCTGGGCTCTCGTTGCGACTCGGCAGCGCGGGAGCGTGAGCTCTGTACAGCAGGCCGGGCCTGTCCACAGCTGGACAAGCGTCACGAGCCCCTGCCCTCTCCTGGACACCCTGGCCTGCCTGTCTGTTCCCCGACTCTCCGTTCACCCAGGTCCATCTCGCCCCCCCCCCTCTCTCTGGCCAGTCACCCCTCTTGCTCTTGTAGCTGATACCCACAATGCAGCTCTGAGCTGCACAGTGCGGAGTCAGCCCTGCCCTGTACCCCTGCCTCGCCCCCCTCCCCCTCCCCCCGCGCCTCTCGCCCTCTGCCTGAGTGCTCACTCCCTCCCCAGCTCTGCCGTCCTCTCTCCCGGTCCCGGTCAGTGTGCGTCTCTCCGCTGCGCGTGGTGTGTGGCTCCTCTCTGTCTCCTCCAGTCGAGCTCTGTCGTCAAGGCGACCCCCCCCCTCCCCCCGCGTCTTTCTTTCCCCCTCATTCACCTCTTCCCTGGTTACCGTCGTCATGGTAACCAGCAGAGCTGGACGCAGGGGCCTGGAAGCAGGGGTCTCGCCTGGCAGGCTCAGCCCGGCTTGGACAGCTGTGTGGGCAGCCTACACCACTGTCTTCATTCCCCTGAGCAGCAGCCTCTACAGCACCAAGGCCCTGCAGTTCTTCCTGTGGGTGAGTGGCGGCCGGGGGGGAGGACAGATTGGGCGAGAGTGAGAGGAGAGGACGGGGAGGGAGAGAGAGTTAATTAAGAGCTGAGATGTGATGGGATCTGGCAGCCGCAGAGTTCCTGGGGGCAGGGAGAGCGCCCGAGTGTCCGGGGCTCGCGCGCCACGGTTTCTGTGCTCGCTCTCCGTCACGCCACGTCTCTGCAAGCTGACCGCCGGCCGGCCCTGTTCGCCTGCTGAGACAGTGAAGCCGTGAACTGGGAGACGAGGCTGGGGCCGCTTCTCACTGCTCACCCCAGCTGCTGAGAGCGTGTGCGTGTGCGTGTGCGTGTGCGTGTGCGTGTGCGTGTGCGTGTGCGTGTGCGTGTGCGTGTAGCAGCTGAACGGGACGCCTCAACCGTGTTCTTCTCGTGTGCGTCGCTCACAGCTAACAGTAACAACTACAATCTTTAAAATCATTCTTAAGTTTCTTCAATAAGATATTTTTGCTGAATGGGATCTGGTGTTGGCACGGTGACTGTTAAAGGGAGACACGTTGTTCTAAATCAAAAGCAGGTGTGTGTTATTCCGGGACTGGGAGAATGTTCTTTTCCTTGTTCGCCGGCTGGTTTATCCAGAGGTCTGGGGATCGAGAGAGTGAGGGCTGTGCTGCCGAGTGCTGCCCTGGCTCTGACCTCTGTGTTCCAAATCCCCATTGTCCGTCGGCTGATCCCTGGACACCCTGACCGCATCCCTCTGGCATGTCCGCGGCTGGGCCAGAGGGCTGCGGGACGAGGCACAGTGCAGCACGCAGCCCTGCCAGATAAAAATGAGCCCTCCACCAACCATCATGGAGTTGTACAGTCTTGCAGTGGACTAGGGCAACCTTCTGTGTCCCCTGCGAGACTGTGTACCAGGCCCTGCAACATGTGCAGAACCCAGGTGGAGCAGCCTGAGCGTGCTCCATTTGTGGTGTGTATTGTGTAGAGGGGTCTAGGGCGGTGCAGACTGCCTCTGGGTTACCCCAGCTTATCTGCGCTGGCCTCAGCTGGTGTTTTAACTCCAGCAGTAATCTCTCCCCTCTGTCTCCCAGCTGAAGCAGATGAAGGAGCTGGAGCAGGAGAAGGACTCCCTGCTGGCGGGCCTGGAGCTGCTGGAGCGAGCCCGGGACTGGTACCAGCAGCAGATCCACAGCGTGACCGAGAGACAGAGACTCGTAGGGCAGAGCGCCCACAGCACGGTCAGGCTCCTCCCTCCTCGGTCCCCTGGCTCCTCCCTCCTCTGTCATCTGACCCCTCCCCCTACCCTGACTCCTCCTCCTCTGTCCCCTGGCCCCTCCCCCTGCCCCTGCACTCACTCTTGCCCCCTGGTCTCTCTCCCTCAGGAGTTCCTCGCGGAGTCCGGTCAGAGCCGCCTCGGTGTGCTGCTGCCCAGGCTGCAGGAGGTGACCCGCTGCCTCGGCGAGCTCCTGTCCTGTCCAGCAGGGGTCAGTATTCGCTGAAGCCTTCATCCAGAGCCACTTGATTTCCAACCCTTAGTGAACTACGAGCTTTTCAGTCTTTGCAGTTTGCAGTCAGACAGGTGTCGGGTTCGTAATGGTCTTTATGAAGATTTGAGTTTTCCTATTTTCCATTGCTTCTTAGGTTCTTCCAGTGTCTGTATTAGAAATAATACAGATGTAAAAGAGTACTTAAAAGGGGATTTTTGTTCTGACCCTCTCTCTCTCTCCCACTTCTTCACCGTCGGCAGCCCTTCTCCTTGTCCCCGAGCACGCTGGCGCCCTCTGGCTCCTCGAACCCGCAGCACGGCCCCCCTAACCTGCCCCACCCCCAGCAGGCGGTACAGAGGCTGAAGGATCAGAATCGGCTGCTGACCAAGGTGAGCATCGCCACAGTACTGACTCCAGCCACCGGGGGGTGCCGTTACAAAGTATTTGTACAGCACGGCGTCTCGTTGATGCTGGTAGCTCACGCGTCCCACTGCTATAGGAGCTGTCCTCGGGAAGCTTGGGACTGCAGGGCTCCCTGTCCGTGTGCCCCCCGTGTGACCCGGGCTGCCCCTCTCTCCCAGGAGGTGACGGAGAAGAGCGAGAGGATCACTCAGCTGGAGCAGGAGAAGTCCGCCCTGATCAAGCAGCTCTTCGAGGCGCGGGCTCGCGGCAGCCAGGAGGGGGGCGCGCTGGACTCCACCTTCATCTGACACCCTTGACCACTCCGGCCGCGGCGTCCGGCTGACCTTGTACAGTGCGTGTCGGGACGGGGCCCCTGTGTGCCCGGACCGCTCTGCAGTCATGTGTGTTTTCTTTTTGCTCTTTGTTCCCTGGTAATAATCCATAACAAAAGTGACTGAGCGTGTGGGAGCATCTCGTGTGACTGTCTGAGGGCGCGAGAGTGTCCGAGCACCTGTGTGTGTGTGTATGAGTGTGTCTGTGTGTGTGAGTCTCTCTGAGTGAGCGAGAGTGTCCAAGTGTCTGTGAGTGTGTGAGTATCTGTCTGAGTGTCTGTAAGCGAGTGTGTCTCCGAGTGTGCGAGTGTCTGTGAGTATCTCTCCGAGTGTGCGAGTGTCTGTGAGCGAGTGTGTCTCTGAGTGTGCGAGTGTGTCTCTGAGTGTGCGAGTGTGTCTCTTGAGTGTGCGAGTGTCTGTGAGTATCTCTCCGAGTGTGCGAGTGTGTCTCGGAGTGTGCGAGAGTGCCCAGCCCACGCTCTGCTGCTATTGAACTGCACCCCTCCCCATCTCCGACAGGCTTCCTCTTCCTCCTCCTCCTCCCTGCCTGCCGGGATGCCAAAATGATCCTTCATAAGATCCGCTAAGGGATTTATTTTTTCTGTGTTAGAAGGCACCCCATGCCTAGGTGTATATTCTTGACGTAATATTCGTTCTTATTTGACCGTCTGGGAGTTGTGCTTGGCTGCCTCCTGTGTCCTCGAGCTGCTGGAGGGTGTGGAGCGGGTCAGAGCCCACAGGGTGGTCAGCTGGGCCACTGCTGGACTCTCCCAGTGTCTGCTTGGGGGTCCAGGGGGCCAGATCCAGCAGGAGCGGAAACCGAAACGGATTCATGTGTTTACAAGGTGGCACTCAGCAGTCCCAGGGCATGACCCGAGGAGAAACTGGCCGCACAGTGGTCATCGGTCAGCACGGAGGACACTCCTGCACGCTGCTCTGCTAAACGGGCAGCTGGCTGACCTATCGGTCTGCTGCAGTTCACCTGTTCGGCAGTAAAAGTCAGTGTGCAAAGAGGAGTCTCACTCGTACAGCAGTAAATTACCTGATCTTGGTCATCAAGTGAGTCTGCAAAGTGTGTTATCTCCAAGAAGTAAAGGAGTTGTTGAGCTTCTTGATCCTTGAACTGCAGGTGAAGAATGAATTGGCCCTCATAGTGATGTCTTATAGCTCAGGAGTCGGAGGCTGCAGGTGCAGAGCTGTGCAGGAGCTTCCTTCGCTGAGGATCTCGCCTGCTGGGTGGTGACGTTCTCTAATGAGCTGCTTTGGAGGGTGATGGGATAGGTGTGGGCTGGGCCTGTGGGGCTGGGGCTGGGGGCGTGTCCTCCGCTCTCTGGTCCCGCCTCTTTCCCCTGTATGAAAACTCTTATTGGTTGGGTTGTAAATAAAAACAAATAAAACAGTTTGAGAGGAAAATCTGAAATTTTACACGATACCCACTTTTCCCGTGGCATTTACATTCACGACTTCAGCTGTTGGTCTGTAGCTTTTTTTCTAACTATGTCCTTTGAATACCGTGTGTAACTCTGGCCCGTACAGCTTCTGAGACCCTCGGTTCCTCCAGGTGAGTTTCGTTCTGTAGTTGTGGTACGGCTCCATATAACTCTCATTTCCGAGTGCTGTTTTCCTACTAAAGACTGGAGCCTTTCAGCAGGGACGGGTTTTTCAGTCCAGTGATACATTTTTTTCCAACATGTTAATTTTTCAGATTAATTTCCTCGCTCTATTCTCTAGCTGTCTCACAGCGGTGTGTTGAAAACGCTCCCTGCCGGTTTGCGGCACTTAAACTGGGCGAGATGTAGTTCACATGTTTCACCACAAGGGGGAGGAGGTAGAACTGCATAGAGCAGTCAGTGGTGTGCTCATTCTTTGTCCATACCTAAGATCTTAAAAATCCCTTTACTTACAATAAAATTATATATAATAACAATGATTTGATTTATAATGCACATTTCAAAAATTGGTTTTAAAGTGCAGACCAGAGGGAGGGCTGTTAGAGGTGTTGGAGAGCCTGAATGTGCTGCTTGTTGCTGTATTTCACTGGCCCTTTCTGAGTGGGGAGTGTGGGACTGCTGGCAGGAGCCACTGGGATCTTGCAGTCAGCAGGATGGGGAGAGGCGCCAGGAGCACTGCCGGACAGGAGAGACTCCGCAGGTGACCGGCTCGAGTGAGGAGGGCTCCACGCACAGCACAGAGCTAGCCGGTCAGACTGGACCCAGCAGTCAGGTCTCAGCGTGACGCTGGACACCGAGCTGTGATCCTGGGCTCACACCTGCACACTGACACACACCACACAACTATACACACTGACCACA